AAAAAAAAAAAAGAACCACTTACTCTCACAGCAAAATGAAAAGTAAAATTTCAGCGTGACTGTTTCTTTGTAATTGCCAACTAAGGTGAAATGCCTGCCACACTAATATCTGTTTCTGAATTCTGACCCCAGAGTCTGGTTAGGGTAATTTCTCCTTACCCTTCAGATGGTTCCACCCTGAGACAGGCACCCGGTCAATTGCTGAAAGATTGTGCGGGCACCCCCAGCCCTGGGACCAGCACTCTGCCCTGTCTCATGCAACTCCTGCCCCTAAACTTTCTCCTTGAGACAATAGGATCTAGGATTCCCAGGAGCCCTTCTGTGACTCCCCCTCCCCCTGCTCAGCATCTCAAAATGTGTGGATTGTGCTGTTGCCAACATTAGAAATAAAAACAGCTTTGGAAAGCTTTGGGTGGTGCAAGCTCTTAAGTAAGAAAAGACAAATTAATTAAATTGTCAAATCCTTCCTCTCTCCGAGTGGAAACTCAAAAGACCTTTACATAACAAAGTGCTATTAGTCAGGGACGCTGACTAGTCCCTTTCCGGCTGCTCTGTGTGCTCGGCTCAGCAGCCTGCACCAGGGTGAGTGGCGAAATTTCTCAGTGGAGACCGATTCTGATTGCAGTATCTCCCCGCACACCTTGTTGGTGCTCTCTACAATTTCAGTTCCCATGGTCAACCAACAGTCTAAAAACATTAGGTGGAAAATTCCGGAAATATGATTCATATTTTAATAACATTTATTATAGTCTACAATTATAATTGTTCTATTGTGTTATTACTTACTCTGGCTACTCTTACTGTGGCTACTTTTTAAGTTAAACTTTATTGTAAGGATGTACATACAGGAAAATGCAAACTATATTTAGGGTTTAGTTCTACGCAACGTTTTAGGCACCCACCTACAGAGGCAGAGTTTCCCCCCATCGAAAAAAGGACAACTGTACTTTTAAAGTGTCAATATGTAAATGTTGATACCATTTTATAAAACAACACTGACTATATTTAATACTAGATAGCTACTAGCCTGTGGATTGCAATCATTTAACTTTTATAAACCTATTTGTAGAGGTTTAATCCATGTTTAAAAGTTAAATTTTAAAGTTCAGCTTTGGTTCTATTTAAAGTGTCATTCAAGTTTTATATTTTTACTTTGCCTCCTAATTGAATACAAGGTATATTTTAAAACAGTAATTTTTTAAAACATTGCAAAGTAATGACAATCTCAAAACTGATATTCACTTTAGTTTATATTTTGATTATGCTTAAATTTTAACATTTTAATACAATTAAAAATTTTAATGTGTTATCACTGTGGGTTGAATGCAAGTTACACAAGACCTTTAGTTTGCTGAAATAAAATAAATGTTGTAGATAAATTATAAATTGAGTATGTATTTTATCATTCAAACAAAAATGTCCCTCGCTCTTCCAAACGTGCAATTTTGATAATTAATTTTAATCATTTTTGACATTTTTCTGCCTTTCATCATGTAAGAGCCATAGCTTTACAAATGGTTTTGGGTGATGCCACTGATTGGTCAAGATCTAAAAACAGAGAACATTTTATTTAACTCTTTTTGGTTTGAGCACTCACTTTTGAAAGCGAGGACACAGGGCTCACGGCCTGCATGGAGGGGCAGCGGGCTTCCTGAGGAGGCCTAGGCTGGAGGAAATCAAAGGAATGTAATATGTTGAGGGGTTCAAAAAAAGGCCCTAATCTGGGGCTGGAGATTTAGCTCAGTGGCATAAGTGCCTGCCTTTGCAAACAGGCAGTCGTGAGTTCAGTCCCTGGTACCTGATAAAAAGGGAAAAGACCAAAAAAGAAAAAAAAAAAAAAAAAAAATGGCCCTAATCTTTGCCATTCTCTCCAAAAATAAAACTAAAAATTCCAGGAACTTCTTTGAATGCTCATACTTTTCTAACTATACTTTTTTTTGTGTGTGTACTTTTTTTTTTTTTCCAAGTACTTTGTGGTACTGGGAATTGAACTCAGGGCCTCTTGCTTACTAAGAAAACTGTTTATCACTGAGCTACACCCCTATTTGAACTAGAGTCTTGCTAAATTGCCCAGGCTAGCCTCAAACTTGCAATCCTCCTGCCTCAGCCTCCCAAGTGCTGAGATTACAACTGTGCACCACCAAGACTATCCTTTTTAAGTGCAAATTCACTTCAGTGGAAATTTGTAAGTATCCTTCTTCACTTTAAAAGAAGAATGAGCCCTCGAAACCTTGGCAATAGAGAAGCATGTAAGTATCTTTTTGGAGAAAAGGAAGGAGGAAGAGAGAGAAGCATCTGGGGTTTGCAGACCAAAGCAGGAAAGGTGCCGCCCTGACACTTCCTGTGTCCTCCTCTACACACACACACACACACACACACACACACTCCTCGGAAGAACTGACTAGCTGCTTATGCTGCTCCCCAGTTGGTCCTGGAGACCTCCCCCTGCCTGAACCACCAGAAACCAGGGGACAAGAGGACCAGGAAGACTGGAGCAGGAGTGCCACGAGCATCCCCAGCCTTGAGCCTGGCTCTTGCCAGCTCCTGAGCCCCTGTACCAGCTAAGAAACTGCATCCCTTCGGGCAGATGAAACCTAAACGGCACCCTTTCTCCTTGCAGTAACTTCCTCCTTGCAGAACAGCCCCAGTCCAGGCACCTGGGCTTAGCAAAGGGGTTGGGGGTTGGGGCAGATTCTAGTTCTGATGGTCCCATCTGGCACTGAGCAAAGCCCAGGGAGGAACCTGCTCTAAGTGGCTCTGGCATGGGCAGTGGCCTCTGCACTAGAGCAGGGAGGGTGACCCAACTTCTAGAAGTTGGCACACTGGAGCAGAAATTATAAAATTCCACTCCATATGCCTGTGGGTTTCGCCGAGGTGCACTGACCCTCCCTGAGTACCACGAGCTAACCTCAGCAAGTCCCTTCTGCTCTCTGTGCAATGAAGGGTTCTTTTTTAATTTTAGAAGAAGGAACAACTTTAAAAACTACTTTCTTTTTTTCTTTTGGTCTTTGAGACAGGGTTTTGCAATGTAATACAGGCTAACATTGAAATTATATAGCCTAGGCTGATCTGGAACTTTAGGCAATCCTCCTGCCTCAGTCTCCTGAGAGCTAAAATTACAGGCATGTGCTCTCATGCCAGGCCCCCCAAAAAGCAAAAAATTTTTTCTTAAGAAGTCTTGACCTAGATCAGTCACATTGGGATGTGTGGAGGGAACAGGGGAGAAGGGACAGCCAGGGGAGAGGAACAGAGGAATTTTATTTTATTTTATTTATTTATTTATTTATTTATTTATTTATTTATTTTTGTCTTTTTCATTTTTATCGGTACTGGGGATCGAACTCACGACCGCCTGCTTGTAAGGCAGGCGCTTATGCCGCTGAGCTAAATCCCCAGCCCCCAGGAATTTAATTTTAGAGACTTCAGGAATTGTAGGCTTTTGTCCCCTGCCCCAGTGGATATGACCACACAAGTCACCATTGACCCACAAGGCACCATTTAAAATCTTTCAGGACCTTTGGTGTGGTCCCCAGTAAATCCAAATTACTAGGTTCTTACTAAACTATTTTTATTATTATTTATTTTTGTACTAAACTTTGCACCTGCAAAGGCAGACAAACTATTCTAGATAAAATCCACAGTAATATTCAGCAAGCAAAAGTCCCCTAACCTTCTCTGATTTTCCTAACTACACTTAGAAGCAAACATCTTTAGAAAATGAAGTTAAATAGCAAAGTTCAGAGGACACTGAACAATATGCCATGTGTGCGGGTAATTATACTTGCTCTAAAAAAAGTCTTCCTTGACTCTATGCAAAAATTCCGTGTGTAGTTATTTTGCTTCCAAATGTCACAGGGTTACTTGATTTAAAAAAAAAAAATGAAAAGGCACAAAGATATTTATGTAATCCTGAAAGAAAATATTTCTTAAGAGAATGTAACATTTAATCTTTTATTTCTTCCCTTTGTCCTGTGGTTGGTTTATATATAGCACCATTTTTTGTGCTCTTGAAATTAAAGGTTCACAGTATTTTCTACCTTTTCAGGGAAAAGAACCAAATAATTTAGATACTGAAAGGATACGATGGTTTCCAACGGCTATTGAACCCAGTAAACTATTATAATCATAAGGTAGATAGAATTGCATTTAATCTTTTTCTGTGATGAGATCATCTGTACTTTTAACTTCAAACAAGATGCTGTTTTTAATCTACCCTTAATAATTCAGACTTCAAAAGTAAAACATTCTGCAGTACTTGAATGAAAGTCACTTGTCTACCTAATTTTTATTTCCGCTGTAATTATGGCAGCGAACTTAATTAGGAGTGAACTCATCCTAATACCCTGAGCAGACAAAACAACTGATTGGTGTAAGAAACAGATACTAAGTACCAGATGCTCTACTGGGTGTTAAGAATTGAAAGTCTTTTGCCAGAGACCTTTCTAGAGGACTCAAATAGGAAATGTTTGTGTTGTCCATCTATACTCTGTGCCAGGAGCATACGCTCAGTTTCTGGTCCAGCCCAGCCCACACAGCTTGAGTCCAGAGCAGAGAGTCAGCATTTACATCTGGATAGTTATCTAGTGTCCATCCAAAGGCTAAACTGTTTACAATTGTATCTGCTAATCCAAGGCTTCATATTGATCGGGATAAGATACTTAACCAATAGTTACACTGTATGCAGCTTCAGTCCTCTGGTAACACTGGTGCCAGGAAAAACCTTAGTCTCTTCCAGGTGCACTTTAATGTTTTTCTAGTGGGACTGACCTACTTAAATCTCAACATTTATACCTATTCGTGGGGGGAGGGTGTTCGTTCTGGGTATGTTTTCAATCCACCCTCATTTGGAGGGAAATTATTTAGTCATCATACTTACTTTACCATAAACTCAAACCCTGAAAGAATTTACTTGATTTTGATCCTTTTGAAATAAAGGCAATGAGTCTGCGACACATTCTTATAGTTTAAGAAACTTACCATGGTTCTACCCTGTGACTTACCGGGTGGCTGCTTGCCAGTGAGTGAGACTGATTAACCACAGCCCCTCGATGTGAATCATCAGGTTAGGATTTGTTGATTCTTGGCTGTTCTAAATAAGCAGAGCCATTCTCCAGCTTGAGTTGTAAAAACTAGTTTCATCTGAAGAGGTTTGAAGGAGACCCAGAGGTTTAAAAGGTAGGTCACTGGATGTCAGCAGTGGATGAGGACAGGTAAGAGCTTTCTCCCTGGGCACAGCTCTCCCACACTGCCGGCTCCCAGCCGGTCCTCTCCAGCCTGTGAGTCACAATAGGAGGTTAAACCCGAGCTCGAGGCTCTGTTTACACTTCTGTCACCACCTCCCCCACTGCTCTGCGATCCTGTTCACCATCTAGTCAATTACATGAATCTCTTCATCTGTATATTTTATATTTAAGTAAAAGTCTAAAGAGTGAAATATAGACATGATACAGTTAGACGGTCTACTATATTTACGTAGAATATAAAGAGCAAAGATGGTTACATTGGTTTCTTTTAGGAAGTGTTACCACTTCAAGAAACTGATGTACTGAACTATAGCTGGGTCCTGGAAGACCCAGATTTCTGGGGTGGGTGCCCCCTCACCAGGGTGTGCTTCAGGTTATCCACATTGCTGGGCATTTCCCTTGTTGGAATGGATGGGAGAGAGCTGCTGGGCCCCTATAGAGCTGGGGGCTACCAGTCACAGAAATGAAAGCAAGGAGCTTGGAGGTTGTTATGGCTTGTATCCAGTTGTCCCCCACAAGTTCACGCAGTCATAGGTGGGGCTTTTTCAGAGATGGCGATCTAGAATGTATGACGCTGGGGTTGATTTGTGGTGCAATGCTAGACTCAAGGGCCCTAGGATTAAGGGCGGTTACCTGCCCTAAGTGGCCTGGATAAAATGTAAGGAGAGAGCTGTGGCTGTCCCTTGTTGCTTTGCTTCCTTCTGCCCACCATGAACTCTCTCCCTCTGTGATGCCTGTCAGCTACATCGCCCTGCCTTGGAGCCAGCCAGTTATGGACTGAAACCTCTACAAACCGTGAGCTAAAGAAACCTTCCTTTCTTTACCTTTAGAGATATTAGATATTTTGTCTCAGCAATGAGAAAATTAACTAGGACAGAAGACCTTAGGAAATATCTGCAAGGTTCCTTGAAGCTGATACTCCCGACAATGACTCCAGTCACTCTTGACCAAGAGCATTTTCTCCTTAGCTCTCTGGAGGAAGCCTCATCTTTGATTGAGACCTTTTTGCAGATACCCGCATGTCACCTTGGCTGGCCCCTCCTGCCCTGCCAGCACACGATACGCACAGCCTCCAGCCTCCTCTGAGCTCTCACCAATTGCTCCTTCTCGTATGACCAGCAGACTTCTTGGTCCGGCAGAGGTGGAAGTCCTAGCCTGAAGAGGAACACAGTGGCTTTCAATTTACTGTTTCTTTTTTTTTTTTTTTTGTCTTTTTCCTTTTTATCGGTACCGGGGATCGAACTCACGACTGCCTGCTTGCAAGGCAGGCGCTTATGCCGCTGAGCTAAATCCCCAGCCCCAATTTACTGTTTCTTTGTAAATGAATAAATCGGATCAAGTAGCTTGTCTGAAAGATGTCTCCACCGGTGGGCAGTCAGATCAGGACTAGAGCAAACCTGAGCAGGACTCCTCAGAAACCGCCAAGAGCTTACTTTTGCACCAAGAGCAAAGAACTGTTGTATATTTCTGATAAGTTGCAAAAATAAATAAATGAACAATAAGATGTTGAAAAATATGTAGTAGAGATTATATGTGTCCCCACAAAATATAGTCTATTGATGGTCTGGGCCTTCATAGAAAAACTTTGCACCCATGAACTGCAGAGCTCATGTGTCATCTGTCCAGCCTTTGTGAGTTCTCAAAAGTAGAGTCCGACTAGGATCACCACCTTACTCATTGTTATGTGAGTTGATGGTGAGTTTAAGAGACGGAGCTGGGCCAGACAAGCCCTCGTGGAGGTGTCTTCCCAGCCAGTCTGTTCCAGGCTACACAAACTCTGCTTCAGTCTCTGCCATATACTATGGGCCCAATGTAAGTCACTCTGCTCAGGAACTCGATTTCATGGAGTCTACTCACACTAACTAAAGCTCAAGAAAAGACTGCTACCTAACCTGAATTTCAGTTTATTCTATTTTAACAATAAGCACAAATGGCTAACAGATGGGCCGTCCCGTCACCGCATGAGGGCATTTGCTCCTGGTAGACAAGCTGGAGCGTCCAGGGAGTCCTGGCATATACAGAGCGTGAACTCTGAAGGAAAAGAGGCAGGTGGAGGATGTATCAAAGTCTCTCCTTGCCACAGAAACCTGAGAGAGTTTTTGCATTTACTTATGATCAGTGAGAACCAGAACTATCTAGCTGAAGTCATATGAGGTCAGCATGAGCTCTTCCTGGTAGGAAAAATCTATTTAAGAAACCAAATGAAGTTCAGAAGGTTGCATGAGAAATATGGAAGCTGAACAAATCAAACTGGGTGTTTTAAAGGGCTCTTTTTCTCAAGCCACGGAAGGCTGATGCGCCCTTTATCCACTACAGGGACGCATGGCACCATCTGGGCAATGAAAGACCTCTTCTCCAGCTGGAGAGGGAAGGCCAGTGCTGGAGAAATACTGGAAATTTTCCATTCCTGACCGACCTCTCTACTTTCTTTGGTCTTGACCACCATTGCCAAAATGTAGTCTAAAGGCCACCCACAGTAAAGCAGCCCTGGGCATTTTTCTCCGGAATAGGGGCACTTGCCTGTTGTCCCATCTACTTTGGAGGCTGAGGCAGGAGAATAACAAATTCAAGGCCAATCTGGTAATTTGGTGAAACCCTCTTTCAAGATACAAAGTGAGAAGAGCTGGCGATGTTGCTCAGTGGTAGAGAGCTTGCCTAGCTTACACGAAGCCTGAAATTTAATTCCTAGTACAAAAAAAAGAGGCATTTGTTTTCTGAAGGTCTGGAAAGCACACTGCTTTCCAGCACTCCAGATATGAAAACCACTGCTGCCTGCTACACTATACAACTATAAGCAGGTTGATTAATGAACTTCTCCAAGCCTTGGTTGTATCTGTAAAATAGAGGTAGTACACATAAATAGAGTCTATCTTCTGGGGTTATTGTGGGCCTCAGATGAAAAGTAAAACCTTGGAAAAGCATCCAGCACTCGGTACCTCCATGTTATTATCATCACCACTGTCACCATGACTTTTATTATGTTTTGAAACCAGCACCTTTCTGTCTGCTCATGGATCTGCTCAGGGAGTGAATTCTACACAAGAGACACCACATCCCAGGAAAAGTCTTAGTAGCCTCGGTCAGGTGATTTTTAAAAAAATAACATTTTAGTGTTTCTGCTTCTCAGGGATAGAAAGCTGGCACCCTAATTTATTTCCAAATCTATCACACAGGATGGGTTTATTTTTTGTCAGGTTTCCAACAGCACCCACGGTGTTTGGCTCATTGCTTACCTTTGACGTTAGAGTTTGGCACATTTTTGCCTGGTCTTAAAAGTCGGACTGCATCCCACTTTGGAGTACAAGTTCTTTTTCTACGGACAACAGCAAATTGTTTACAATCATCTGGTGTCATTTGTTATGAGTTACTCTGTGTTTATGCTTTCCTTTTAAAGATGAACAAAATGTAGAAATAGAGTCCTCCCTGGTGGCTGAGTGGCAGTGCTGACTAAAGCAGGACGAACAGGGGAGGCGCCAGGCTAGTAGATTTTTCGGGGGGCGGGGATGCCATGCTCCATGCCTTGTTAACTGGCTGGAGCTCGTAACCATTCCTGTCAACTGTGCCTTCAGCCGAACACTTCAAAGCAAGTTAGGAACGTGAATTAAGCCTGTGAGTGTCGCCATGGTGTGGGTAACTACGCCAGCTGCTCCTACCAGTCAGATGGGCACCCTTGGCAGGAGGAGGTTAAGGGCAGCGAATGCCCCCGCCTGTACTGACTCAGCAGCAGCACCACCTGGGGAACTTTTCATCACCACCGTCTCCATAGCTCTGCCCCTGGCTTGTCCAAACAGCAGCACTGCATTTCAAGTGGAGTTGTTGAAAAATGAATCAAGGCCTACAAAAAATAATGGATCGGAAGTCTGAACAGGTGAGGAGGAAAGGGAAAGCTGTTTGGGACTCACCAGGGTTTAGCATCTCTGGGTTCCTTTGTGTCCATCCTGCTGCCGGTGGACTTCACTCCCTGTCCCTCACCTCCACTTCCCAATGGACTGAGGCCCGGCGCTCTGCTGGAGGCCTGCTGTGGGGAAATGGCTGAGTCGATGACCACAGGAGTGGCCTAAACAGCCTGCTGGGAGCCGTCCCTGCTAGGCTGTGAGCCCCCATCCCATTCCACTCCGTGTGCTGTTCTGCCAAACGTAGCTTGGCCCCCAGCCTGCAAGGATCAAGATTATTTTTAGCTGGGCCCAGTGTTTAGTCCAGTAAATTGAGATGGAATAGAGATTTAGCTCCCACTTTAAAAAAAAAAAATACTTTCTATGGGTTTTTGTCCCCCTGTTATTATAATTTATCATGGTTTTCTTTTTGGTAAATATATCCAAGAAAAAGATGATATTAGAATACATGAGCTCAGCGTGGTGGTGCCTGTAATCCCACCCTCAGGAGGCTGAGACAGGAGGAGTGCTGTGAGTTCAAGGCCAGCCTAGTGACAGAGTGAGTGCACGGCCAGCCTGAACCACATAGGGAAGCCCTCCAAAAAGAAAGAAAGAAACCAAAAATTGCCCTGTAATACTGTTTAGTGAAGTACTATACCTGACCAAGTTCACTAATCTTGCATATACCTTGTGTTACTCTTTAATGCAAGTATGTGCTAGTTTAATTACTCCTTAGTTCACCATAGAGCACATGCCATTGCTGTAGAAAGCCCTTACCAGTCCCTTCCCAGTCCATATGTTTACGTGTAAATGTTATTCTAACCTTTAACATATGGATTTGCTTTATCTGTTTTCATGTAAGTGCAATAATACAGTCTCTAATGTTTATATCTTCCTCTTCTTCTCCTTCTCCTCCTCCTCCTCCTCCTCCTTCTTCTTCTTCCTCTTCTTCTCAGGCTATGTCTATGCCATTCATTCATGATGTCACATGTAGTAGTAGATTGGTGTTTGCTCATTTTTGTTGTGTTACATTCTGTTACATAAACAGTACAATGTGCTTATCAGTTCCCTGGTAAGGGAGATTTTTATTTCTTTTTTTTTAAATTTTATTTAAAAGGAAAAAGAGAAAAAACAAAACAAAACAAAGCAGTGTAAGGGTACAAGTAATACAGAACTACAAAAAAAAAAAAACAATAAGAAATCACCAGTTAATAGATTACATATTATCATCTTAGAGATAGGGGAAATTTTTATTTCAAAATTTTGGTTAATAACAATAAAGTTGTGGCCAGGCACAGTGGCACACTCCTATAATCATAGCACTTGGGAGGCTGAGACAAGAGGATCACATTGAGTTTAAGGCCAACCTAAGCTACATAGTGAGTCCAGGCCAGCTGAACTGTACAGTGAGACTCTGTCTTAAAGAAAAAAAAATAGCTCACCATTCTTTTTTATTTTAGTCCTCCTGAAGAATATGAGCTGGTATTTCTTGGTTTTCATTTGGATTTCTCTGGTGTCTAGTTATTCTTAAATACCTTTTCAGACATTCATGGAATATTTGAATATCATTTTCTGTGGAATGCTTGTTCAAGTGTTTTGTCCATTTTTAACTGGGTTGTTTATATTTTTACTCTCACATTATAGGATTTGAGTTCTCTGTTGGATATATTTTTCTATATTGCAAATGCTTCCTCTCAATCTGCAACTTAGCCTTTCATAAAAGTTCTTCACTCCAGTGAAATCCAACTTGTTTTGAAGTCCTGTAATACTCCCACGATCTTGTTTTGACTGATTAGACTCTGTTCCATTCTATATGATAGTATCAAGTTTGAAGACATAGGCAACTACTTTGAAGGCAATAAGATTCACTAAGATGCCCATTCTGGTTTGACTATTGTCTTCTTTGGAAGTCCTGTAATGTTTACAATGCCTAAGTTTTATTGGTCTTGTTCTCTACTATTTTGTCCAACTTTATAATATCTAATGAGATAGACAATTCTTTTTAAGGAAACAAGAGACAACGTTGATAACCATTGTTGATAACCTTGTACTCTGTTCTACACCATGTGCTATGTCTATCCTTGGTTTTGACTGACAGCTTTGTTTTGCCATATTTGACTGTATTCTCTCCCCCCCCCCAAAAAGTAATAAGCACTAAGGAGTAATAAAATCCAAAATGTGTAAATTTTGTTGTAAAAAAGAGAGGGGAAAAAAAAGAAAAAAAAAAAGAAAAAGAGCTCTAACGGATATAACAGCAAGTGTGTTTAGGGGTGTTAAATAGCTGACTATATCAATGTTTTTGGATCATTGAACACAGCTGTTTGCAGTCTCCCTGTTTGAATGTCCACCTTGTATTCTTTGATACTGTGATTTGAGCAACTATTTTCAAGATGATAATATGTAATCTACTAACAGGTGATTTCTTACTGTTATTTTTTTTTTTTGTAGTTCTGTATTACGTGTACCCTTACACCGCTTTGTTTTGTTTTGTGTTTTTCTCTTTTTCCTCTTAAATAAAAAAAAAATCCAAATTATCTGTATTTTATGGTCAATACTTTTGTACCCTGTTTACGAAACTGACTGCCTTGTTGTCTTGAAGACACCCCCATGCATTCTTTAGAGGCTGTACTGTTTTAACATTTATGTCTAGGATCTGCTTGGAGTTAATTTTTCCTTTATCATGTGGAGTAAAAGCCAAAGCCTTTCATAGGAACATAAGACACTGTATCTGAATTCTACATTCTCTTCTATTAATTAGTCTATTCTTGTGCCAATAGCACACTTAATTTATATTTTTTTAAGCTGATAGTATAACCCACTACCTTTCTTGTCACTGTTGCTGTGTATATTTTAGAACCTTTAGATTCCCATATATGTTTCAAAGTCAGTTTGTCAATCAACCACCCTGCAACCAAGAAAAATGCCATTGAGATTCCACTGGGAGGACGCTGATTCTCCAGATCAACACTGAGAGGGGGCAGCTTAATGCTGCTTTTTCACTTCATGAACGTGAATGTGATATACGGTTCCATTTGGTTAGGTCTCCTTTAATTATGCACTACTTTTTTATGTTATAATATTCATGGATATCTAATTGTGTCATTCAATCATCTCCTACAACGTGATTTGCAATGATTTCACATACTATGTAGAAATACTGTAGTTAATATAACTAATCCCTAAGCTGTAGAGATTTATTTCTAATTTTTATGAGCAACTCTGTGATATCCATCATTGTAGGGCATGTCACAACAAATGAACTGCTGCGGAGAGGGATTATTTACTCTTATAGTGCTGGGGATCCAACACAAGGCCTCACACTCAAGGCCTTGAGCTCATTACGTGGTCCAAACAAGCCTCAAACTCGTGATGATCCTCCTGCCTCAGCCTCCCACGTACTGGGATTATAGGTATGCACCACCATGCCCAGCATGAGTGGTTTATGCTTTATATCACACCTTTCTCATGGCTCAAGAAAATTACATTCATTACAGGGAAAACCATATTTTAGAAAAAAACTAGAAAGCATTCTAATCACCTCAGCTATAGGACAAAAATTTTTAGGGCCTTAAAAAATGCAGTTATCTCTGTGGCATTAAATAAGTTTCTCACAGCTTTGGTTTCCCAATTACCTTAGCTACTTTTCTCTCATGGCTGAGACAAAATACCTAACACTCACAAGTTAAAAGGGGGAAAGTTTATTTAGCTCACAGCTTTCAGAGATTTCAGTCTATAATCCACCAGCTGTAGGGCGGTAGGGTGTGGTAGGAGGGGCAACAGTTCATGTCTGTGGAAGACAGCAAATGCAACAAGAGAGGAAAGGAGGGCAAGCCTCTTCCATGCTTATATTGTATGCAGGCTTCCTGCCCTAGGCAGGTATAGCATTCAGACCCTTAATCCCAGCATTAGACCATGAATCAGTCACAAACTCTAAAAGCCTGCACCCATGACAGCATGAGGGTTTTGCTAGGGGGACATCTGGACACAAAGCATAACACAATATATCAAAAGAAAGATCAGGACTCCAATCACTAACATTCCACTATTTTGCTCTAGGAAGCCCTTAATGAAGACAATATACATGAATTCAAACAAGCAAAACTCTCTCTCTGTCTCTCTCTCTGTCTCTCTGTCTGTCTGTCTGTCTGTCTGTCTCTCTCTCTCTCACACACACACACACACACACACACACACATTTAAAGAAAACACATAGAAATAAAATTGTAGGGCTGGGGATTTAGCTCAATGATGTAAGCACCTGCCTGGCAAGTATGAAGTGGTGAGTTCAATCCGCAGTACCAAAAAAAAAAAAAAAAAAAAAACTTGTATATGTTGAGACTCTGGACATTAACAATTTGGAGAAGCGAAGAAGGAAAGAGGTGGATCCCTGGGTCCCAGGAAGGACTTGAAGAGAACATTAGCCTACAGGGAAATTGAAGAGACAGACCAAAATGCAAAAAAAGGAAAAAGCAACCTTCACTTTCTCCCTGGCTCCTGGTTCACAGTGTGAGAACCAAAGACTGAAGTTATAGAGACTACAACAGAGATGATGTATCAAGAACATAGTTAACTAGAGTAGATACAAATGTTTTTAAAAATTGAGGTCCTTAGGAAAAAATGGAAACCATGAATACCCAACATAGGAAAGAACTTGATTCTCTAAAAGAGATTCAAACAAATGTCCAGGAGTTTTAAAATTCAATTGAATGTACACATGGAAGGATCAATGTGAAGCTAGAATACCAGACTGCAGTTGGTATCATCAAATTAAAAGTTTCTTAGAAATAGCAATAAACCAACAAAAATCAATCCAGCAACTGCAAAGTACAAAGAAGAATAACATAAGATTAATGGAGATCGATGAAGAATTAGAAGACAGCACAAAGGATATCAAAAATCTGTTCACAGAAGTAATAGCAGAAAATGTGCTAAGTATGAAAAAAGATTTTGACATACAGACAAGCAAGGCATATAACTCCAAATACCATACTCAGAGAAAAACTACATCAAGGTATATAGTAGCCAAGAGTCCAGAAATTTAACACAAGAATAAAATATTAAAAGTTGTTGGATGAAAAAAAATCACTTGTAAAGGAAACTCCATTGAAATCACAGCAGACTTCTCAACGCAAATTCTTATGTCAAGCAGAGCTTGGAATGAAGTATTTCAAATCCTAAAAGAAAACAACCTCTAAGCTAGATTGTTGTGGCCTGCAAAATTATCTTTAAAACTGATTAAGCAATAAGATACTTCCATGGGAAAGAACACCTGAAGAAATTCATGACCACCAAACCAAGACTCAAAAATGTTCTGAAGGACATTCTAGAGATAACAAAGACAACAATCCCAAGAATCCCAGTAGAATGAATCCGCCAAGCAAGACATGCACTCAAGGAGAAGGAAAAGAAAAAGAATCAGCAACAGGAAAATAATACAATGACAAGGACAAATCGATACCTATCAGTTATACTATCAATATGAATGCTCTTGATTCACTAATCAGAAAAATTGGCAGAATGGGTCATGAAACAAGATCCATCAATATGCTACATACAAGAAATATATTCAGTTCAAAAAGAAATTCATAGACTGAAAGTTAAAGAATGGAAAACAATACTCTATGTGACAGGAACCCAGAGAAAAGCAGGGGCAGCTGTTTTATTTGCAGACAAAATGGATTTCAGCCAAGACTAATCAGAAAAGACAAAGAAGGTCACTACATCCCTTGCTAAGAGAACAGCCCAACCAGAAGAGATGACAATCATAAATATATGTAAACACTAATGGATATAAAAATCAGAAAAGCACTAATACGATTGTAATGGGAGACCTCAATACCCCACTGTCACAAATAAACAAATCAACTAGACAAAAAACCAACAGAGAAATATCAGAGCTGAACCAAAACTTTGAACAAATGGACTTACACATGTCTACAGAGTGTTCCGCCCCACAACATCAGAATACATATTCTTCTCAGCTCCACATGATATTCTCCAAAATAGAATTGCTTAAGTAAATGCAAGGGAATTGAAATCACCTCATGCATATTATCAGAGCATAGAGTAATAAAATGAGAAATAAATGTAAAAAGAAACCACAAAAACTACATAAACACATGGAAATTACATAATACCCTCTCTGAACAGCCAATGAGTCATATAAGAATTTAAACAAGAAATTAAATAATTTCTATAATTAAATGGTAATGCCAGTATGGCACACCAGAACTTATGAGACACAATGAAAGCAGTCCTGTGAGGGAAATTTACAACAGTGAATTCTCACATCAGAAAAATGCAGAAAGCCAGGCATGGTGGTACATGCCTATAATCCCTGCACCTGGGAGGCTGAGGCAAGAGGATCACTAAGAGTTGGAGTCAAGTGTAAGCTAAATAGTGAGTTCAAGGCCAGCCTCAATTACATATCAAGACCCTATCTCAAAAAAGAAAAAAAACAAGCAGGGAGAACTCAAATAAATACCTAATATTGAACTCAAGGTTCTAGAAAAAGAAAAGCAAGTTAAACCTGAAGGAAATTATAACAACATTAGTAAAATTAATGGAATTGAGACTAAGAAAGCAACACAAAAAATCCATGAGCCAGCAGAGCCCAGCAGGGCCCAGGAGGAGAAACAAAAAGCCAGTTCACCCTCCCCATGAGCCAGGGCTGCCATGTGGGGCTGGGAAGAGAAACAATAAATCAGTTCACCCTTCCTGTGAGCCAGCCAGTGTACAGGCTGAGAGACAAGAACTCTCCCACCCCACCCCTAACCCAATAAGCAACTAGATGATTTGGAGGAAAACAAATGAGTTGATAGCAACTGAGGACGTAACCAACTTAATGCTTGTATTGTTTGATTGACTTTTCAGGCCTAAAGCTGGTAGTCTGAGCATCTATTTAGAGGATAACAGTATGCAATATAGCGACTATGGGGGGTTTTCTTCTGTCTTATTTTTGATATCCAATATTGTTCTCACCATTTTGTTTTGTTCCATTTTATTGTTTGGTTTTTTTCAGTGTTCTATTTTGATTGGTTTTATTCTGTTCCATGTTGTTTGATTTTATTATGTCTGATGGTATGGGCAGCTATTTTGAAGATAACAAGAGGCATTATGGTAGCCATTGTTGATTTCCTGTTATCCTGTTTTGAAGTCCTGTATTACTTTCATTGTTTTGTTTTGATTGGCTTTATTCTGTTTTATTTTCTTAAAATAAAATTTTAAAAAACAATATAAAGAATCAATGAATTGAAAAGTTGGTCCTTTGAAAAATTAAAGGAAATAGACAAAATGCTTAGCTAACCTTGTCAGACAAAGGAAAGAAAAGACTCAAATGCATGCAATTAGGAATAAAAAGGGTGAAATCAAAACAGATGTCACAGAACTCTGTAAGATCATCAGTCTCTACTTGGTAAACATGCACGCCAACAAGATGGAAAAATCAGAAGAAATAGATTCCTAGATGCATATGAATTACCAAAAGTGAAGAAAAAAGTTAGAAAAATTCTGAATAAATGATCCAAAATCAATCAATGGAATCAAAGAGGAAAAAGAAGAAGAAGAAGAAGAAGAAGAAGAAGAAGAAGAAGAAGAAGAAGAAGAAGAAGAACAAGAAGGAGAAGAAACCAACAAAAAAAGGCCCATGGCCTAATTCACTACTGAATTCTACAAGAATGTTAGAGAAGCCACTACTCTTCAAACTCTCTGATGAAATTGAAAGGGAATTACTCCTAGACTCATTCCTGGAAGCAAGCATCATCCTGATACCAAAACCAGAGACAGATCCAAACAAAACCAACAGCTACCAGCCAATCTCCCTAATGAACCCAGACAGAAAATCCATAAGATACAGACAAACAAAATGAGCAAATCATCAAGAAGATTACACCACAACCAAGTGAGATTCATCACAGAGATGCAGTAAGAGTCCAATACATGCAAATCAATAATAATGTAATTATCAATATACCATATTAACAGAGTCAAGGACAAAAACCCTTGGATTACCAAAGATCTAAATATTAAGATGAAAACACTAAATCTGCTGGAATATTGAATAGGTAAAGTTCTTAAAGACAGGTGTAGGCAAAGAGTTTATGAATAAAACCCTGGTCTCATAGGAAATATTACAAAGAATCAACAACTAGGATCACATCAAATTAAAAAGCTTTTGCACAGCAAATGAGACTCCCAACAGCGTGAAGAAACAACCCACAGAACTGGAAAAACATTTCCCATCTATTCCTCAGACAATGGACTAATATCTAGAATATATACAGAACTAAAAAAAAATCAGACCCCCCAAATTCAAAGACCTAATCCAAAAATGGGCCTCTGAAATGGATGGACATTTCTCATATGCAGAAGTAAAAACAGCCAATGAATATCATATATGAAAAATGCTCAATATCACTAGTTATTTGAGAAATGTAAATTATAACAACACTGAAATTCCATTTCACTCCAGAAAAAATGGCTAACATCAAAAAGTCAACCAATAACAAATCCTGGAGGGGCTGTGGGGAAAAAAGAGCCCTTCTCCCCTGTTGGTGGGAGTGTAGACATAGTTTGTAATAACTGGATCTCGTAGACAGCTCAAATGCCCGTCAACTAATGAGTGGATAAAGAAGACGGATTTTTATAATGAAGTACTACTCTGCCATACAGAAGGGTAATATTGAGACGTTACCAGCTAAATGAATGTGCCTTGAAGCCTTTCTCTTAAGTGAAACAAATCAGACACACATGTGTAAACGTCGCATGGTTTCTCTGCTGTGTGAAACCAAAAATCTTAACAAGGGCCAAAATGTGAAACAGATGCTGGGAAATGGAAAGCAAATGTCCAAAGGAGAAAGGCAACAAGGGACAGGGAAGGAAAGAACAGGAAGAAATGGAAATAATGTTTTTTAAACAAAGACAGGAAAAGGGACTGAACGGAGGGTGGGGTAACGGGAGAAAAGAAAAGAGATACCGGGTTCGGGACCGAATTCCCAGTGATGAATGCTATCACTACACATATCTAAAATGTACCAAGAAGATAAAAGGAAAAGGGGCTGGGGATTTAGCTCAGCGGCATAAGCGCCTGCCTTGCAAGCAGGCAGTGGTGAATTTGATCCCTGTACTGATAAAAAGCAAAAAGCAAAAAAAAAGATAAAAGGAAAACCATTTGAGAAAAAAAGAAACAGCCTTGTGGTTGTTTTGGTTTTTGGCCGTTGTGTTTTAGTGGTGCTGGAGTTTAACTCCAGGGCCTCACATGTACTAGGTAAGTGCTCTACCACTAAATATACAACCCACTGAGGAAGTAGCTAAGTATCCCGAGACCCCAGCCAGATAAAGTAGTCTCTCTGTATGTTATCAGAATGAGCATAATACTACCACACATTTTGTTTGCTTGGTTTTTGTTTTTGTTTTTTGAAACAGGCAGGGTTCAAATTTCCAGTGAGCCTCCTGCTCAGCCTCCCAAGTGCTGTGGTTACAGGCATGTGCCACCATGACCAGCTTCTACTGAGGAATTCTTAATGAGAAGTGGAAAACTGATGACCAAAGCTTCGGAACTTGGCGTGAAGTGATGGCGAACTCAGGTGCTGGAACAACGTTTACTTGTTAGAGCAGTGCAGACGCCTGAGCCAGGTCTTCTAACTGTACAGAGTGTCATCATTGTGGCTTCCTCAGTGGGAGGCCAGACAGGGCATGCAGTCATTATTGTCATTCTTAAGTTACTTTGTTTTTTAAAAGGTAATTCATGCACATAGCACAGAATTTCAAAGGGTACAGAAGACATGGATGAAAAGCAGCCTTCCGTTTGGGTTCCCAAATCTTTCATTTCTCTCCTAGAAGCAACACTGCCTGCCGCTGGCTTCTAGTGTGTTTTGCCAGAAATATTCAGAACAGATGCTCTCTTTCTTCCTTTTTGAATGCTGAATCTCTCACTTAAAACTGTGACACCGCAGAGTTCTTCGATAAAATGATTGTCCAGATTATACAACACTCAGATATTTGAAATGGTTTTTAGAAACCTTTTTACTCACAACAACCTGCAGCAAAAGGCGACCACAGCTTACCCTGCAGTGGTGCAGCATGGGCCTGGGGTCTATGGTTACCTTCCTAAGATCTTTTAGGTATTGACATATGACACAATGACCGAACGTTTCCTGAAGGTGTCAGCTGAAGCCAAAGCCACAATGCGGGGAAATACCTGAACTGTGAAGTCCTCTAACTTCGGAGCCAAGACTTAGATTTAAAACCTGATTCAGTCATGTGTGGCTGCACAACCCTGACACTCACTAATTCCTCCGTTGACTGTTTTTATTATTTGTATAATAATAACCCGAGTTGCTCAAAGAATTAAATGAGAAAACAAACCCAGAGTACTGTGTCCCTAGGAGTATAAAATTAAAGCTCTCTATATGCTGTTTAAAACAATAGCTAAGCAAACCAGAATAAAATCTTTAAAGAAAATTTACTTATCCTTCAAGGAATTGCAACTCAGGGAGACAGATATAAAATTTACAGGCAATGTGTCTTGAGGGCTTACCGTGTACAAGATACTATTTAAGTGCTTTGCAGGAGCTCATTCTTTATATACGACCCTGTAAGCTGGGTGCTGTCATTATTATCCCTGAAACACGGTGATGATATAACTTGCTCCAAGTCAGCATTCTAGCACAACAGTGTTAGTTTATGTAAATAACTTCTGATCATTAGGCTGAGCTGTCAAGCAGCTGGGTTGGGATGGAGGTTGGCTGGGTTCATGGCTCGAGCTCTGAATCCCTGTACCAAATGCCCTGGGAATTTCATAGAGAAATGATGGGGAGATCATTTGCAATTGACACAAATTCTCAGTGACCGTGAGATCACTGAGAATAAAACCGTGTACTCGGCAAGAATAGTGGGCAGAGGACAGGGCCAGGCAGGGGAGGACGCCAGGAAGAGGATAAGCAAAGCGGGCAGAAAGGCCACCCATTGTGTAAAGCCTTGCCCGCCCAGCAAAGGCGTTTAGATCTTATCTAGGAAGTGATGTGAGCACTTGAAAGATGTGACCGAGAAAATGTCGTAATCATGCTGTTCCGGAGAATACGGGAAGGGAGGCTGCGGAGGGAGGGGCAGGCAGGTTTGAGCAGTGGCAATCAATCCCACAGAAGATGAAAAGGAACCAAGGACAGGAGGGGGTTTTGCTGGCTTACAAAACTGTGTGTACACAATAAGCCGGCTGAAGAGGGACAGACACAGAGTGTACAAAGTGACATACACACACAGGATGACTGATGACAGTGTGCACACCAAACTCAGTGTAATTAGGGACAGAACAAATCGAAACTGAGGGCTCACCACGTCCTGCTCTGGGTTCTTTATGATGTTACCTGGCGTGGTACTCACAGCTCTGGAAACCAGACATCATTATTCCTATTTCACTGGCAAGAATACGAAGATCCTCAGAGCTCGAGTGAGCCGTCTGGCAGATGTGATTTGTCAGTAGTAGAGCTGGGCTGTGACTCCAGGCTGCAGGATCCCAGGTTGCTGTTTCTGCCGCTCTGCTATGGATCTGCCTCCTTTTTGTGGGAAAGAGTATACATCACGTTGTCTTCCGCAGTGAGGTTTGGATCATAACAACTGGAGGAGGTTTCAAACTTGGAAAATGGATAAGGGAAAGACCGGGTGGGAATAATCTTTGCATCACTATCATTCGTCCTCTAGATGCTCTGCTTAGAATGTTTCCCGCAATGTTCATACACTGGAAACGACCCCAAACCCAACAGTGCTCAGGGTAGGAGCTGATTAGGCCATAGAACAGAGTAAGTGTGCTATCAAGGGTGTGGGTGGCTATCTTTACCAAGAGAGTGGGTTTATCGTAAAAGGGAACTCAGTGCTCTTCTCTGTCCTCCTCCTCCATTTCCTCCTTCTGCTCCCTTTTTCTCACCCACGGGATAGAGCCCCTTGATCCTGGATTCTCCCACCTCCAGAACCACAAACTGAACAAACTTCTATTGTTTATAAATTATCCAGCCTGTGATACTCCATGATAGCAGCACAAAACAGACTAAGACACCTGTAAATCCCAAGCCACCACCTCCTGGGATTCCCACCACCAGGAAAAAAACTCTGGACCCTTCCTCCTCTCAATTCCCAGCGCCATCACTGGAGTGCAGCCTGGGTTATCCCAGCCCTGCCCGTGGCGGGCTGATACAAGCTGTGTGTCCTTGAACAGCATCCTGTTCTGCTAACTGTCTGCTTACATTTTTTGAGAGGGGATTCTCATGACTTCCTAATGCAGTTCCTTTCTAGGTGGGTGCCCCACCTCCACTCTTGTCTCCCACATCCTCGGAGCCCTTAGGACATGCCCCTCTTCTCAGCCCTCTGGTGGCCCCCATAATACGTGAAACCTGATCCTATTACAGTTTGCTTCATCTTGATAAGGACCGCATACACAGGACCGTATGAACATGTTTGTTTGCTCGCCCCTGGCCAAATTAGAGGAGACCATCTATTTTGATGATAAGGAAAAAGGTCTTATTCAAAACTAGCTTTGGGGCCACAGAGGGACCAATTTGTCTCAAATCACCATCTCCCTGTGTACAGATGTGTAGGGGTCTTTTGCAGTAAGGAACAAAGACCGGGAGGAATACACTGAGCAGGGGATAACTCCAGGCTTGCTTTGTCTCACCCACCCGTCTTCATTTTGATCTCTCCCTTTCCTGTGCAAGGGAAAGTGGGCCCTGACTTCCTGGTGTCAGCCTCTGCATTGTCTGTCACTTCTATTTGGGCTAACAGAGGAGGGGATGTTGGTTGCATATGTAATATGTAATTTATTACATATTCAGCAGTAGGAAGTTTGAAGAAGTCACCTATCTCTAGGAGAAAAAAACCTAACTTTCAAAGTTCAACACAGCCATGCCAGTTACAGTCTGGCCCTTTTCGAGCTCTGCTCCTGCAACCTCTCTGCCTGCTTGCTGCTTTCCATCTGTGCCACACTTGTTTAAACCCCAGGGCCTTGACATGACAGTTGTTCCTGTTGGAAACAATCAGCCCTCCCCAGCCTACCCTCAGATAATTAAAAGGCTACACTCTCCCGTAATTCAGCTTACTACTCACCGGTCTCTTTCTTCAAGAGATCGTCCCTTACAGCCCTATGGAAAGCAGAATTCTTTTCTACCCCTCTTACCCTGCTATACTGTTCTTTATGACCCTTAGCATTACACACACATGCACGCATGCAGAGAGAGAGAGATCATGCAGAATCTACATTCTAGACAACCAACCTAAGGGGTTCCTAGGTGAACTTTTGGTGTTAAAGCTTGCGAAGTGCCGGGCAAATACTGAACTGAAATGATTGTCCTATCCCTCTCCTACCAGAATATCAGCTTGATGAAGAGAAAACAAAACAAAAAAAATCTGTTTTTTTCCTCTGCTATATCCCAAGCACATACCATAATGCCTGGCCCATGGTAGGTACTCAATAAATATGTATTGAATAAATGAATACAAAAGTATCCTGTGTCCAATAGCATCAAACATTTAAAATCTCGCCAACCTAGTATTATAATTCTTCCTGGACTTCCCCTTCTTAATTACCCCCACCTACTTCCTACTATTTCCTCCAGTCTGCTGTAGGTATCCCCGTGTTTCACAGATTGCACAAGAAACTATCCCTTCCCAAGAGAAGTATCCCCTTGTCTCTCCTACCTAAATCAGTCCTATTTATTTTTTTTATTTTTATTTTTACTTTTAGTTTTTGAGACAGTCTCATTATGGAGCTCCGGGTGGCCTCAGACTCACAGCAATCCTCCTGTCTCCTGTGCTGGGATTTCAGGCGTGTCTGGCTCTGAATCAGACTTTTTGACATGCTTCCTTTGGTTTTGTTTTGCATTGTTTTCGAGATCTACATCAGTGAGAAGTGGGGGAGGAATGCATGGGACCCTACCAGAATTCCCTGGGGCGTTGTTCCACAATATAAGCTCATCCAGTCCCAATGCTGGGAATTGCTTTTAACATTTTTGGGGGGGTGAGGGGAGGGATATCAAACACAGGTGTTTTTAAAAAGTTCCCTAGGTGATTCCAACAACAAACACGAAGCCACTTTGATCAAATCCCAGGATGCTTCACAATGCTGTTCAAATTCTTTCCAGGCACCACTAGGCTAGGGGTCTTGCCCACCCTCATTGTCCCCTCCCTCTCTGGAATTTTAAGATGCTTAGGATCTATCTGATCCACACCACCAGGGACCCAGAGCCCTCTGTTCAACCCTGAACTAGAACAGGAGGGGCCAGACCAACCTTGGGTTCGCAGCTATGAAGTTATTCTTTGAGCTGATGGCCCTGGAAAAACCATCAGGGGCATGTCAGGAAAGTGCTGTGTTAATCATCGGTCAGGTTGCCCTAGAGAGAAAAACAGGGGTGAGGATGGATGTGGAAAGCTGGGTTCTGGGGGGTTTGTTGGTAGGAAGGAGAGGAGAAGAAAGGAAAAGAGGAAATTCTTGCATATATATATAAATTATATAAATATATATATAAATTATATTTATATATAAATTATATATATATATTTCCCCCACAGGACAATGCGTTCCTTCCTTTTCCCCTCTGTCCTTATACTCTCTGCCCTTTGCTTTGGAAACCAGCTCCTTCCTGGCAACCAAACCTCCAGACACCATGAACTGGTGCTTAAGGGCTCCTAAGAATCAGATGTTTCCACAGCCTCCATTTAGCCGCTGCTGGGAGTTCCAGCTCTCTTCCAGGGGCCCGGGGCTGTCTCTAAACGGGAGCTAGAATTATCTTCATGCCTATTTCTCAGGGTAGTGGGAAACACTGAGAGATATTTTCTGCTGCACAAAATTAGAATCCTCAGTGGATTTCCCCCATAAACTCTGTGATAATTGGTGGTTAGAGTCCATTCTACCATGAATACTGTCCCCTGTAGTTGCATTAAGGATTAAATTGATTTTGCAGACTGGATCTGGGAATTTAACCACAATGTGTACCACAGTCTCTGTGGGAAAATATATTCTATGTTCCAAACAATTGACCTTTGGAACTGATCCAGTTCCAAAGCTAGGGACAGTCTGTACAATATTCTGCTACAGTTTAGGCTTCATTTGTGTATCTTAGCGTCAAAAACTTTTTAGAGCTGAGAGAAACGTTGGAGATGGACTCATTTGGCAGGTAATCAGACCAAGACTCAGTGAGACAAGTATGTCTAAGGCTATTCACTATTTAGACCTCTCCTCTCTAACCCAATACTGTGCCACTATCTAAATCACCTTGAGGTCATTTCCCCACGTAGACTTTAAACTATTTGCAAGTTGGAAGGTGGGGCATTCTTCAGCACAGACGCAAACACTCTGGGTGTTTCATATACACTAACCTGGCTC